CATTCGTGGAGCAGAGCGCACCAAATTCTAGCATTGCAGCACTGCAACCCACACAACCTTAGAATATCATGAACACGTCGAAATAAGATTTTTTTGATTGCGTGTCAGGTGATTGGCGTTGCGGCGAGGCTCAGAATGGAGCCCAGCGCGGTATTGATCCTCTAACAGTCTCTTACAGCAGAACTCAATTAGAATTGAACAAGGTCCTGATGCGAATGCCGCAACCCGCAACGGGAACTCTACTGGGAAGGACCTTTATTCATTGCTATCTATGCTTTACCTATTCTTCTTGTACGACCAGATACAACCGTTTCCAGAGCGGCCTGGCAAATCTGGGCATTTTGGTGGAAAGACCTTTTGTCTCAGCCTGGGGAAAGGAGGTCCGGGTGGGTGGAAGGGTTTACCAGCTCAGCTCTTGTTTCTCTCGGAGAAGTTAATAGAAAGAGACATCGTTGGAAGAAACTCCTCAGGAGGTCGAATTTGATACCTGCAGAGGGGGTCGTACTTAGCGATCGTGTCGTATATGGCCTGTTGACTTAGCGATTATTCCCTTTTCACGCACACTATACTCCCCTCACCCCTTACCCCACTAGTTTGCGGCTCCACATAATTACTCGCAACTACTATTTCTATATGGCTTTTACAGCTGGCTGGCGACTACCTCCACCCCTACCCTTCCCTCTGCTCAACGCCATTTTTTTTGGGAAAAACTGCAAAAATCTCCAAAAAACTAAGAAAGTGGTGAGGTGAAAGAGTTCAAGAAAATGGTAAGTAGGATGATGAAGGACGGGAGGTCGTACCAGAGAAGGAATTCGGTCGTTCTGACACCGCCATTACGATGTTGTATCCTGCTCTTGACACTGAAACTTGAGCCTCTTCAGACTAGGACTTGAGCAAAGACTGGAAGAGAGCAAGCGGTCCCAGCAGGAATAACCACAGTGCTCATGACTTCTGAACATGTATGGCTGCTATTACGTAACACTATATAGTTTTTGAAGTTGTTTTGTTATGATAACTGCTGTTTTACGCCGCAGTTCGCGTTCCGAAAGTTATCACAAGAATGCTGAGTTGTGGGCAAAAGTCGTGCCCCAGGCGGGAGTCGAACCCGCACCTCACGCTTTCCGGGCGAGTGCGCTATCCGTAACGGATAGCGCACTCGCCCGGAAAGCGTGAGGTGCGGGTTCGACTCCCGCCTGGGGCACGACTTTTGCCCATAACTCAGCATTCTTGTGATACTATATAGTTTGTTACAGCGCGTTCAGAGTTCGCGATATCGCGTGATCCAGTCAAGCGATCCGATCGCGTGATTCAGTCAAGCGATCCGATCGCGCGATCGCGAAGTCTGAACGCGCTCTTCACTAATGAACTAGGAAGAGTGGGAGACTGAGAGAACAGGAGAAACAGAGAATAGTAGTCAATTAATCCCCACTTGCTCCCTTAGCGCGCACTTCTTTTACACTCCCTATTCTCTCCTTTACCACTCCTTTCCTCGTTCGATAATTATTACTTAGCTTCGGGGCGCGCACTTCCTTAGTTCATCTCTTAACCGCGCTTCAGAATTCGCGATCGGATCTTCCGAGCGACTGGATCGCGCGGATCTCGTCCGGGGTGCTCCATCGCCAGACTGCACAGTCTCAACGACAGAATTCAAGTTGGGCCACGTTCACAATGCGTCAATTTAAATTGTGCCGGTGGTTCACCGCTTGGCGATGGAGCGCCCCCGGTCGAAGATCGATCGCGAAGTCTGAACGCGATCTTAGTCTCCTGTGTAGCAAAGTAGGAACGCACTCTCAAAGTTGACATTTTTCTGCGCAGATAACAGTCTCTTACTCGCTCGTGCATTAGGTACAAAAGAAAACTGCTTAATGAGCTACTGCATCCGAACCGACCTGCGTGGAAAGTCAACATCGTTACTAGATACCTCGTGGGTTGACTTACAACAATGAAGCAATCTTAGAAGTAGTTTCATAATGAATAGACAATATACTCAAACAATTTAATAGCAGCCATATTAATTGGGAGTTAGAGCAAAGATTCTGGAATGAAAAGCTCATAATTCTATGCTTATTTTTTTTTGCCCATTAAAAAAAAAAACCCGGGTGGGCCGCAATCGTGTTAGACAATAACGCGTGTGTACCCTTTTGATTGAAACCCTGAGGTCAGCTACACAAGACAACAGAAAAAAAATACGTGAGAACAGATTATTTTTTCAGGAAAAGAATCACAACGAAGCACATAACAAGACGAAGGACTGGCAATAAGATTATTGTTCCTACCGTTGCACATAATGTTTTTCACAGACGCGTTATGCGTTCGACTCGAAACAAGCTTAGAGTGCGTTTACACTTGGCGTCAGCGTTTCGAGCGTGCACCAGCGTCTTGAGCACCAGGAAAGTATAGGTATCGGTCGGGCTTTGAGCGACTAGGAAAGTGTTACTATCGTTCCATGGCTTCGGCGACTAGGAAGGTATAGGCATCGATCCAGCGCTCTTAGCGTGGATTAACTGTACGTTAACTATCCATTTCCGTCTGCCCTGCACCCAGAACGCGTAGGATCGATGCGCATACTTTCTTATTCGCTCAAAACTGGATCAATACCGACACTTTCCTGGTCGCTCTACCGTTGCCGTACGCTAACAACGCTGCCACAAAGTATGAACGCATTTTGATTGAGCTATTAAGTGTGCAAACGCAACTGAGCGGGAGGTAAAGGACGCAATTATGCGCGCATTCCTCTGTATCGCAAGAATAGCCGACTCTGATCGCCAGTCCTCTGTCAATCGGGAGCTTTTTGGCTTGCGGAAGAACCAGACTCGCTGCCATCCGCCCTCACCTCTCAACCGCCACACCCCATGATGAAGTGAAGGAGCAACCCAAATGCCCTAAAAAGACAAAGAACACAATTTGCGTTCATACTTTGCAATCCAAGAGGTACAGTCGCGCGACAGCTGGGAGTCGCGCGACTGCCACTGATCGTTGTACCTCTACCACGGTCGAAAGCGGTTCTATGATAAAAAACTGGACTGGTCGCAACGATTATCGGGAACGCGCGATACTCCGCGCCGTTAACTTGCTTAATCCCAAAGTATGAACGCGGCTTTACTCAGCAAACGCGCGTTTGCGAATCCCATGTTGCGCAACGATAGGAAAGAACTCTCGAGTTTCATCACAGCGTCTTACGTTAGCATTACGGAATCACAAACAGGTCACGATTGGTCAATAAATGAGAGAAAATTCACGTGGTACTGGATGTTATTGATGTAGAATACAGGTAAAAAGAATGTGTTAGATGTCTGAAATGATATGTGGGCATAGTTTAGTAAGATGCGCAAAGCCCAAAGGCAAGGCGCAGTGCTTTATCGATATCACATGTGAAATTTTGAACCCTTAAATCGTTTTAAGAGATGTTGTGAGCAATCCAATCCAATGCAGTACTAAGCCCTTCGCCTTTGATAGCGGAACAGCCGTGTATTTGCCATTTTCTGTCTTTCATTGAAAGGAGCCCCAAATCGCTGGAGATCTCAGCTGCTGACATGGCGTTCTCTTTGTCTTGTTTGTTTGCCAATACCAACAAAGATGCTTTTGCTAGGTCCTGAAAGAAAAGAAATGACAGCCACACTGACTTTTATCGTGATAAGATGCACTCCATACCTCATGCTCCAACATTTCGTAGAGAAGTTGCTTCAATAACGGTAACCGAGGCGCGTCTGTACTATCAATTACCACAACCATCACGTTTGTATGAGAATAGTAAGATGACCAAGAACTTCTCAAACTTTCTTGACCACCGATATCCCACATAACTAGCCGTAAATTACGGTAGCAGACCTCCTCGACGTTACTGCCGATCGTGGGCTTCGTATCGACAACATCACCCGTAACCCTGAAATTTCACGTAAATTTTACAAGTTCTGAAGCAAACAAGATTATAAGTTCAGGTTGTCAGGCTGCGTACAGTACCCCCGAAAATTGCGCGTGAAGTTAAAAATGTCGCGTCGTGAACGCACACAATCGGGCGCACCGTAACCCGGTTTAGTTACCCAAGTTTGAGGTACGTTTAATAGCTCGTGTTGTTACTCGAAAGTAATTCTGTGAGTTAACAAAGAATCTATGAAGGCTAAAAGCTCAAACCGCAAATTCCTGTGACCCTACTGAATGACGAACCTTGACCGAACTCCGAGTTCGGTGAGGTTAGTTGCTGCGGGAGCCTATGACCCTAAGATAGACTTTGGCCAAAGAACGTGGCAGTGGTTTATATTCCCTTTCATTGTTAGATTACTTCGGTGTTAAATCCTGCGACAGGGGAGAAGACGGGGTAGGGGAGCATTAAGTTCGATTTGCCCCCTAGCTTGCTTCAAAAGGATTTTTTCCCCATTCTTCTTCAAGAAAAGTGAGGTTTTTGACGAAACAGCAAAGAACTGGGGTTCGGTGACGGGCAGCATTTTGCACCTTGACTGCTCCCGTAGTCCTGCTTATATCACGCTGGTGGAACCTGTGAAGTTCTGTGAAGCTGGAGCAAGCTTTTCAAGCCATCATGGTAAACCTGTCAACTCTTGTGAGCTCATGAAATAGCTCTCTAGATGGCTCGACACGTCGATGGGAAGTAACAAGGATGCAACAATGCCCCCCCCCCAAACTGTGCCAAGAATGGAAGCGGCGAAAGAGGGATGCAGAATATTATGATTCGATTCAAAGAAAGGAAGCAATTTCGCGGAAGCAGCCGGGAATACCAACAACGTATATGAAAACACGTGAAATAGCTCGCTAGACAGCTCCGGAAATTCGATTGTGCTTAGCACCTTCGAGCGATGAGCCTTATTCTGAAAGGCTTGATGAACCTGAAAGTTGTTCTGTGAATGAACGATGTTGGAAGAGAACCCGAGAATAACCAATGAGGAACTGGGTCTCTTTCGGAGTCTTCTCGTTCTTACTTGTCCCCGAACACACTGGAAGTCTCCAAGGTTTGTCATCTGGCAATCGCGGCATTTCGTAATGTTGCCTCGGATGCCGATATGCTACCAGATTCTTTGGTCAAGATCCTAGTCGGCCAGCTTTTCGATCTTCGGTCAAAAAAAAAAAAAATTAAAACCCGCAGCCTCGTGGCAGAAGAATAAAGGCGTTAACAGAGTTGGAGGTCCTTCGAGAGTAGGCTCAGGCGGCCACTATCGTCGTCGTTGCTCTTCCACTAACAAGGAATGGATGGTTGGTCGAAGTGGCCATTCGAAATGAGATGTATACTGCCCGGTGGGCCCTTGAACGCTGATTACAAATCTGCCCTCCATTTCTGCTGAACGATTCCCTGGACAAAGTTATGCAGGAATTTTGACCAGGTCACACCCATTTCCAGCATGTATGTGAGGCACACCAAAACCCCCAAATTTGCTAAAATCTGGAATTAGAGGTGGTCTGGTGCTCTGGAAATCATCACTGCAGGTATTTTTCATAAAAATGTCTTGTTCACATTCTGGAGGGGCAGGGTGTGCAGGACCTGCAACTCCCTTGGCGAGCGTTTTTACGCCGAGCAAGTGTGATATTCGTGTTCTGGGGCTCAAATTAGCCCTAGAGGCAAGTTTTCAACCAAATCTGAGATTTCGACCTATTTTCGATACAGTGGGGTAACCATGGGCAACGAATTCCTTAAGGTCGCTGGCACTATCGCCGATCAAAATCTCTGTGAGCCATGCAACTTTTCCGCTGAATCTCAGTCCTTATTGGTTACTGACGGCCCTGATCACAAACATGACATTCACTTCTGGCTTCCATGCCATTTGGAATCAGTTTGGTGGCACAACACAACGTAACGAATAATGCCGCCGAAACCAACAATCAAGGGTATCCTTCAGGAGTGTTCCAGAATGGCTCCATTCCTTCAGAAACAACATTTTTTGGTAAGATCAGGTCTCCTAACCCCGCAAAAGTGCTTTTAGGATGTGCAGGGAGCATTTTTGAGAAAATGCAAAACCACAACTCCAGGAAGGACCCGAACCCTTTTGAATTTGAAACGCCTATTCAATATGCATTCCCTCCAAATGTCATAGAACCCTGTAACACAGCAGAGTGCAAGGAAATTTTTTTATCCGGTGTTCCCATTGCGAGAAACTTTTTTGCTTCCAACACTTTGTTCTGGATTATCACATTTGTTCTTGGAATCACAAAACTTGTTTGTACCCACTATATGAGCAAAATAAATCATTAGAAGTCCTTCACAGGCGAGAATGGTTCAGTTTTCCAAGAAAAGCCCTATTCATGGCATGACAAGGTTCCCTGATCATGCTAGGCTGTGTTAAAAACTTCCAGAGAGCACTGCTGAAACAATGCAAAAGAGCACGTCCATCAAGGACTCGAACCTCTGACCTCGTATACTTGAGTCCGCATACTACCCACTAGGCTACCGAACGACAAACCAGGAACAACTCACGTCTTATTTGTATACCAAGCTCTACTGTGCTCCGTACAACAACCTCCTGCATATCTCTGCTCAAAGAATCGTTCAGCAGATATGGAAAGCAGATTTGAAATCAGCGTCCGAAGACGCATCAGTGAGTATACATCTTGTCTTAAATGGCCACTTCGACCAACCATCCTTTCCTTGTAAGAGAAGACAGTGACCCTCCTACATGCTCAGCCTAAGAAGAGCGCGAACGACTAAAGTCGCCGCAGGTGAATGTCCTTTTTCCACATGTTGCGCCTTGAAGAGACAGTATTTGACGAGTTCAAATGACTTGTGGTAACGCAGACGAAGATATCGTGGACGCGTTCTTCTCGTCCAGTGCTCCCCCTCCCATATGCCTGACCTCAAGGAATATGTGCGGTATGGTCCAGTCGCCCTCACCAAGGTTGTCAAACAGATACTGTAGTCATGGAATGGACAATGTAAGTGAAATAAATCCAGCTATGACGGTTTATTTTTTATATCAGTAAACGAAATATTCTGGTAAGCGGTAAAAAGGTTGTATACTGAGCCAAAGCATCATAAATTTGGATGTTATTTACAAATCACAAGCTGTCTGTGCGACGCGGTCGCGCTGAGGCGCGTTCGCGGAGTGCGCTGAGCTGACCGTGTGGTGGCTGAGGCTGCGTTCATACCTTACAACGACGTCGACGCAACTGACGTAACCGGCATAACCCTCGTTTTTGGCGCTAGTTCGCCAAGTTGAAATACGATCCGACGTAATATGACCCGAGTAAAAAACTGGCCTTTGTCATGGTTTAGACGCCCTGTTTACAGTATTTTGTTTTTCCCTTGACTGTGCTGCAGAGCAAATTTTGCTGCTTTAATGCTAGATATTGTCTATTACTGTCATGCCTTAAGCGCAAGCAAAGAAATAAATAACTGAAGCTGAAAGGGTGGATTAAAGCATACACCACCAAGAAGCACTCGATAGCATTAAGCTAACTATTCGTGAGTGATTTTCCACAGAATCTACGGCAACTAAGAAAACCTATGTCAAAGCATCTCGCATAACAAAGGGCTTTTGAATGCTAACTGTATAACACAGCTGCTTTCTGGCTCAGCCCTCAAACTTATAAGTGGGATGAAAACGAGTGTCTCTTTTTGACATGAAGCAGAACACGCTAAAATCTCCGTCCATCCTAGAACAAAATGCCACTGACCGCTGACGCGCTGCGCGGAGGCCCCGCAGTGTGGCCGCGCCGCAAAGACAGCATTAGATTTGTAAATAACATCATAAATGTGAGCAAATTGAAGAGAGTAACCCGAGTAAATACTCACCAGTTGTACAATATTGTTGTCTTTCCAGCATTGTCGAGTCCAACGATGATAATTTTGTGCTCTATAAACCTATTATTACAGCTCTGCGACTGAAAAACTAATGAAATGATATGGAAAGATTCAGCTGAACGGGTTATGCAATACTGAACCAAACATGAGAGCCTTCAAAAAAGTAAAACCTTCAATACACGTTAAAAACTACAGGGATTATGGGAGGAATTCACTGTTCCTTATTTCTCTAAACTAAAAAAACAATGGCACTATTCAACCATTACTACCTCAAAAAGTCAATTTTTTTTGCTGAAACTTTGCTCACAGAGGTAAATTAGCGTTTCGACGCCAGTTTGGTGTTTCCACTTTCTCACCAAATTCGATGTAAATTGCATAGTAGCATCACCTGATGCCCTGATCACGAAGACCACATTGTTTCTCAGCCCTGACGCTTATAGGCGCCATTAGGCGTGATTCGGCGCCACTACATCGATAAAAATCTGCATAATATGGTTGTTTGGTGCCCTGATTACGAATCTAACATTTATTTCTCTACTCCAGCAACGTTTAGCTTTCTTCCAAAGCTGAGTCTGGGAGAAGGAGTGATTCCTTGCAGGCCAAGCTCAGCCTTAGCAGACGCAGAGTGTGCCATCGGCGCCAGCAAGGGTTTTTGCCAGCGCCTGTGCCGCGGGCGCTAGATGATGTTAATTACAAATCACAAGCTGTCTGTGCGGCGCGGTCGCGGTGACGTAACCGACGTATCCCACGTTTTCGGCGACAAGTTCGCGAAGTTGAAATACGCATCGATCCGACGTATTATGATCCGGGTAGAAAACTGGCTTTCGTTACATGGTTTATGATTCCCTCTTTATAGTAATTTGTTTTTCCCTTCACTGCTCTCTGCAAACCAAAGTTTGTTGCTCTTATATTAGATATGGTCTATACTGACATGGCTTGAGCGCAAGTAAAGAAATAAATAACTGAAGTTGAAAGGGTGGATGAAAGTATATCACCAAGAAGCACTCGGTAGCATTAAGGTATCTATTCGTGAGTGATTTTCTACAGAATCGAGGAAAACAGTGTCTTTTTTGACATAAAGGAGAATAGGGCGCAGTTTGTCGACAGGGGGAGGGGGTGTGTGGGCATTTTGCACTTTTGCTACTTCCCATCGACGTGTCGGCCTATCTAGACAGCCTCTTCTCGAGTTGACAGGTTTTAACATGATGGCTTGACGACCTTGTTCCAGCTTCACAAGAGTTCACAGGTTTCGCCAGAGTGAGACATGTAAACCGGAACTGAGGAAGCAATGATAGTACAAAATGCCCCCCCCCCCCCGTCGACAAACAGCGCCGGAGAACAGTGCTAAAAACCCCGTCCATCCTAGATCATAATGCCAGTAACCGCTGACGCGCTACACGCCGCAAAGACAGCTTGTTTTGTGAATAAATCCAAGTGGATATGATATTCGTGCTCAGAAGGTCGATTTACTCCTAATACCCAACCTTCAGCCAATCTGCCCCGTAGAAAAAAGTTGGTCAAAATCCGGCATGATTCCAGAAAATTGGGGTAGTAATAGTCGAATAGTGGCAAAAAAAAAAAGTTATTTAATGGAATACGAAAAGGTGGACTTATAGGCAATGTGAGCCTCAGTAATCCGCTAAATTAGATGTATTTACGATAAAATATCCGTATGTTCTTAGGGCTTTTAGCACTGGAAAATCGTTGTTAAACTCGGCTCCTAGGCGGAGGGAGCAGGAATTTCAGAGATACACTCTCATCTTGTCAGGTAAGAATGAATATATGAAAAAGAAACAAACAACTTAACAAAACCATTGAAAATGAAATTAATAAAATTAATAAGCATTGACAACCGTCTACTCACCTTTGCCAGACCACCACAGTCGCCAGAGTTTTGCAAGGATCAGACCCATGGTTTAAACATCCGCAAGAGCTTACACCTGAACGGAACGACAGTTCAAAGCGGCTGTGTTAACTCAACGCATAGAGCGACGGCCACCTCCTTGGGACCAAGGAGTTCCATCATATGTAGGTATCTGTGTACTGGTCGCAATACGTAACATCGCACTTCATTGTTGCCACTTAGTAAAGCTGTGCAAATCCCGAAAACTTTCTGCACTATGAGTAGATCTACATCTTATGGAGACATTTGTCATCTAGCTGTACATTGCTTCGACTTCGGGAGGAATTTCCTTTAGTATTCCGCGTCTCCCAGATGTTAGACGGTCTGCGAGACTCTTTACTTGTGGTCCAGAATGCTGGTTATGGGCAAAAGCTTACGGACCACGGGACGGTTTCGGAACCCGCATCTTTGCTTTTCCGTGTGCAGCTGCGGTTCCTATTACGGCATCCGGGACCACTGCTAACACTCAGCTCAGATGGCTATTTTGGTGCATTTGCCTTCAAAGCACTCACAGCGGTATCATGTTCAACGTTGATGAACCGAGTAGCGATATCGGCAGTTGAACCGCAAGCTGAAGGCTTTTTACTCAGTCAAGCTGTTATTGGTTTAGTAACTGCTGATTCCGCCGCAGTGCGCTGATTTCGAAAGCTATCACAAGAATACTGAGTATTGGCCAAAAGTCTCGGACAGGACGGGGTATTCAAACCCGCCATCTTCTGCGTTTGCGGCCCAGAGTTCCCTATATTACGGCACTACCTTTACTAGTCTAATTTGGTCAATGTTAAGGTTGCGAAGTCTCATGAGTGTCCAAGAGCGGAACAAATGCTATGTGACCTTATATCAGACTGGATCGAGTTCTTGGTCTCCATCGAGGCGCAGAAGGTACGGAGCAGAGGATCACTCAAAGACAGTTCGTAAGATTTCAGCGAGGTGATTGCATTTGAGGATGCCTGAAGAGGAAGAGTTCACATCTCTCCTACGGGTTTTCTTCTGTAGAGCTGAATTGAGGGGCTGATGTTCAGAAGGTGGATGGAGCTGGTGCTGGACAAATAGATAAAGTTGAAGGGGGTCGTATTAGCGGTCCGTTGGAGAGTGGGATGCTTGCCGTGAACCTTTCTATAGCGGCCAATTATTGAATGGTTTCTTGGTCGCTAGCTTTCATGTACCTGTAATTCCAGTAAAGTCATTCAAGAATATATTGCGATAACTTTATCGGCGGAGACGTGCTACCCATTGATATGCCTCTTTTTCCAGCACTTGTGAATCTCCCTTTCTCTCCGACCATTCCGTTACCGCGAAAGGTGTCTTTGAGTGTTTTCATCACAACCTTAGCGATGAAATATTTATTTTTCTATCGTTTATCACATTCTGTAGGAAATTTGTGCACTTGAGAAGGAGCAAGCAGAGCTGTAGGCAAGCAAAAACGCATGGATTCCTGGAAACAGTGAATTAAAAGGTGATTTCAAAAACTTGTAAAACAGTATCTGATGTTACCTCAGCCCAAAAGTGTTCCACCTATGACGTCTTGAGCCTACTAGGATCCCTCCTCCTTGACGACCAAATTGTCAAATAGTGCAGGTTCTGATACCCGTGACAACTTCTTCTTGAGCATGTCCGCAGTGGCTTGGAGCTCTGCTACCTAAAAGGACCGAACTTTCTCATAGTCAGATTCCACATGCATCTGATATCGTCGCAATCTGGCGGGGCGGTGTCAAGAGACGAGGTATGAGCCCACCCGCGGCTGCGTTTTCCACCAATAATGACCGGTTCAGGAAGGAAACTGGTGGAGGTAGAAAGCGCGTTGGGTGGGCTCACCCCCTCCTACTGATACACTCCCGCCGCTTTGCGACAATATCAACTGCAATAAATAAATCGCAGCTCACGAACTCACCCTTTTCTTCAACTTCGTACAGGACGAACATCCGAGCAGTGATTCAGCCGTGATAACAGATCCGTCTGGTGTACCCGGGGTGTCAGATTCCACTGACAATATGCTGACCATGTCAGCTTTAGACTCTTCATAGTGACGACCGTTAATGGTCTTCACGGTAGATGGTTCCTTAATCAGAGCTTCGGCAGGGATGGACGAATCGTCACAACTGTCACAGGTTTCAAGCAGACTGTCAGCAGTCACGATATTGGAGCTGGATGGCCCCTCAGAATCTTCTGCAGAAGGAAGGAAATGTTCATCATTTGAACTACAGGATGATAGCAGTCTGTCAGCAGTATCGACATAAGAATCGGGCAGTTCCTCCGTATCGACATAAGAATCGGGCAGTTCCTCCAAGTCTTCCGCAGAGGGAATGAACGGATTGTCAAAAATATCACACGGCGATAGATTGTCCGTAGTACGAGAATGAGAGCTTGATGGCTCCTCCTCTAAGGCTTCTGATGGAATAAATGGATCGTCATAGAAACCGAGCGGTGATGAAGACTTCTCAGAACCATCGTCAGCAGCACTGTAACAAATTTAGTGAGGAATAGAAACTACTGAACTCATGCTGAACATGTTTTCGCCAGCTGGTTAGTGTAGGTCATAGCGGCCCGCAGAGTTACGCGCACGGCGACTGAGTGCCTTCTTCACCAATGGGATCACAGGGAGCCAGTAAGGCGTGAGGCGCTGCAAGGAACACAAAGACGCGCTGGAAAAGTTCCGGACAAATAAAATTAGTTGAAAGCGAAAAGTGAGGTTGTCTGTTTGTACGCTTACACAACCGCTCGCATCGTATGGGTGATCAACCCAGTCTACAAGCAATAGCAAAATAAGAGTAAAGGTAGTTTGCCGGACGTGGCGCTACTACGCCATTTCTAAACAGCATGTCTGCACCCTCTCACTGAACAGAAGTGGCATACACACCCGTTGTAAATTTTTTCCAACTTCTTGGCTGAGCGATTCCAGGCGCAGGAGATTGTAAGTGGCACACTGAACTCCCATCGATGGAATTCACCCAACGATGCTCTGCTCCAAACAGGGTACATCGTTGGGACAATCTCATCCATGGGGGTCGTATTTGGTCAATGGAGGTTGCACGTGCCCTTGACAGAAATTTTTCAAGAGCCACCACAAAACTTTCCGGTGTTGAGTTTCCAATTTTTCTGCGCTGCATAGCCGAACCCCAACCCTCGCCCTCCCCTCCTCCTCGGCAGCTTCTTGGAGTACGAGAGGGGGGGGGGGAACTGTGAAGTTTTGTGAAAGGCTGGCAAATTGGGAAAAGCCATAGTTCGCTGAGATCAGTAAGACAGTAGGTAGGATGGGAAAGGGCGCCGTGCCAGGAGAGACTGTTGGGAGGGGTAGAGGGATTGTCTGACACTGCCATTTCTCCCATTCCGTTATGCATCCTGGCTACGAAGGTAGTCGTACTGCTAATTCGGTCACATTCGTGGTAAAACTTCTTTCGACAGTTGCAGTAGCCCACAGAGTGGAGCGTGATCTACCGCAGTCGCGCAGCTGAATAGCTGGAGTCGCGAAGTATGGACACGCGTGCCATTGTCGGCCGCCCAAGAATGGACCAGATTAGAAATAATTGCCCTACAGATAAATTGAATAGAGCTTTAATACTTAGGCAGCGTTCAGATTTCGCGACGGCAGCGCTTCAGGTCGCGCGCTCGACGCGATCGATGCAGTTGAAAGCATGCTGCCGTCGCGAAGTCTGAACGCTGCCTTACGCTCTGTATGCCGGCTAATGCCGTTTGGACGCGCTGACTTTTCGCTGCGAGCTCATTTTTAAAGTGCCTATTTCACCAAATCCGCTGAAAACTTGTATATAGGAGTAATCTAACATCCTGTTCAAAATATGACATTCATTCTTGACGCTGGCGCTAATGGAGGACACTACGATTATCTTCTGGATTTAGCTCTAACAGAGGGCACATTGTTCTCCATTAGCGACAGCACCAAGAATGAATTTCATAGTCATAATCAGGATGTTAGATTACCTCTATATACAAGTTTTCAGCGGATCTGGTGATTTAGGCATTTCAAGAATGAGCTCGCAGCCAAAAGTCAGCGCGTCCACGGCATTAGCCCTGTATCCCACAGCGAGAGGGGTCGTAATCGCGCGTACTCGCGGACTCGGCGTCGCGAGTGAGAGCAGTATCGCGGATTTCTGCTCTTCAATAGTTGTGCTAGACTACGTGAAACTTTGAAACTTCATATCTATTATCTGAGTGTCATTAAACAGACAACCTCCAAAATTTTCCAGGGCCTCTGCTACGCGTTTCGTTTAGTGCGCAATTACAACCAGTGTATCTCCTGGACACAGAATGAAGACAGAGGTTTTCAGGAAAAAAAGTCAAACGAACCTTGCTTCACAAGGTGTTGAGCCTGTTAGTCGATGTTTGCGTTTTCTCCAGGCCAGGCTTGACATAGCCCTTTTGATGTCCTCAGGCCGAATCCAATATAGCCTAGTGCTAGGATCATTATACTTCTCACGAATCAGATCCCGTACATTTTCCTCGTCAGTACTCCTTTCCAAAAAGCTTTCAATAATCTCCCTGTCCTTCTTCGTTAGAGGCAAGCAAGCAGCACTAACATCATGACTGATATGACGCACACAGTATTTCACAAATACAGTACCAGTACTGTAGACGTATTCCTGAAGTATTGACTCAGAATCTCCACGATAACCATTATCCCAAAACAAACCACGAGCGCAGTAGCTGCCAAGTGAACGTGCGGTCTGTTTTTGGCTCTGACAGTATGGGCCGCAGCATCCTGCCATGAGACGCGTTTTGAGCTAAGCTGTGGAAGCTGTTTAGCGATAAGATCATGGTAATACAGAGCTCATGTATGCGATACTCGGCCAAACTAGCCATGGCCGCGTGCACACTTGCTACTTCACCAACAAGTTCGTCAATATGTGCCTTCATACTTTGCGACACAGTAGAATCGACGTTCTGAGCGAACTGGCGTTTCGAGCGCAAAGGATAGTAAGGGTATCGATGGGTGCCCACATTACAGCTTCCCCAGAAAAGGGCGTTTCGCAGCTTTTTCCCCGAGACGGCATATCGATAGCTACACTTTTCCTGACGCGCGTTTGCTCAGAACGCCATTTCTCCCGAGCCTCCAACTATAAACGCCACCCGAGAAAGGATTGAAACTTTACATTCAGGAACGAAGTACAGTAGCCGTATTGTGTTTCCGGGAGCAATTTCTTCGCACGACGACGAGTAGAGTGAACTCTGAAAAACTATGATAGTTTCCAAGGGACGGTTGCTGAGGTAATACGGATAGGGATGCAGTAGAACATAGCGTTTAGACTCTGTATTCTGGAGATGGAAAGGATGGCTTTACTTTACTAGTTTTCGAACAAAGAACTTCACTTTATTCGAACGTGGTGGCGGCTGGCGGCTATTCCCACTCGAAACAGCATGATCGCAGCTCTCTCTCGAATGGAAATAGCTTACGAGAAAGGCATCCTACGTCATAATCAAAAGAGGTCCGTAACCACGCCCTATACGTCGCCGGGATATCGAGGGTAGAATGAGCAGGAGGAACTGGGACTTAGCGCCAAGAGAATGAAATGAAAACAAAAATCAACGCAGGAGAAAAGAATACAGTTCTTATCTCGAGGTATTTCAGCCACCAACATACAAGACGCGCGCGCGGTCGCGAAGCGGTCTGTCAAGGGAAAATTTTGGCCTCTGTAGAAGGGTAGGTTTTTGAAGTCGTCCCTTCTCAGTGTTGACATTGTTTCAGCAAAGATGACATTGCCCTTTAGTTACTTTTACTGCCTTGCTTTTCGGAAAAAGGGCTGAATTTTCCTCCAAATTTGTTGGCGGCTTTTGAGCAAAAGTTCGCTGAGGTAACTTGACCCACTGAAGGTGAATATTATTACTGCTTGGCGCGAGAACCTCTGACACTTACGCCAGGGGCACTGCCGTTTAAACACCTCGAATCGAGAAGGTAGCAAACGGCTCGTTTCCCGTGGGTAATTCACTTTTTTAGCATGAAAACTACTACATTCCAGAAAGTAAACGCTCAATGCGAGCTCTACCGATATTGAAACCAGAACCAGCTTGTGGTCGAGGAGCTCCATAATATCACTGCAAACGGAAAAGGCATTTACTTGTTGATAAAGTCAAAGGGAATGCAGTCTATCCCGGGAACATCTTCAGTGGTATTTACATTCTGAGACAAACTGCGATAAAATTCATCCTGAGCTCCAAACATTGAGATGGGGCAGAGAGCGTCGGAATTATTTTACAAGAGTTACCGATTCAAATGTTCGTATTCGACAGAGGATGGCGAAAGGAGACTTACAAAACGTACCTGCTGCATCGATAATAAGTGATTTCGTGAACCGAATTTCGATTTCGTCCAATATTCAGCCATGCAGTACAGTACGCCTTTGCAAGTGACTCTTTCCAGGCCTACAATGATAACAACATTAGCTTCAAAGAAAAGCAATTTCGTCACTATTGGCGGCGTCATCCTGGATTTCAGCGATGATTATCTAAGGCAGCGTTCAGACTCCTCGATGGCGCGCGTCTACGCGCTGTAACGCGGTGTAACGGTCGTGACTCGCACTCAATCGCGGCGACGCTTATTCCATAGAAGCGAAGGCAGCCGCAGACGGGAATCGATCGGCAACGGCCGCCTTAATGTATTCGAGTAGTATGTATAGCGGGGGCGGGGGGGAGAAGGAAGGAAGGTTCGCGTTGGTTTGCCTATCGAAGCAGTTTCGAATCGATCGCATTGGCCGTAAGCGTAGGAGAGCATAGAAAGAATGGGAGAGTGCCAGACTGTTGGAGCAGCAGCTACCTCGTGTTGTTCTATGCACTCTCGAAACAAAAGCGGCCAGCCCCGATCGATTCCTGTCCGCGGTGCGTTCGCGTCTTTGGCAGGGCACATCATTGGTTGGGGATTTTAGTCGAGTCCGTACGACCCCCTCCACTTTTTTGGGGGTTGGTAGGTACGACCCCCCTCACTCTCCGGCCCTCTGTCCCTCCTCATCGACAGGGGGGGGATGTAAATAGCACATGCGAAACAGGAAAAGCCGCGAGACAATACGACACCCTCCTCTTCCACCAATACCCAGATTTTCCCCAACTTCCTGTCACTTTTTCCAAAATTCCCGAAAACTTCCCAACAATTTTGCTATCGCGGGGGAGGCGGTATTCAGTACGCACGAAACAGGAAAATCACAAAAAGTCAACCACCACTCCTAGAAAGGCCAGAAAGTTTACGACCCCCACCCCTCCCAACAATGAGCAAGTGCGACTCCCCCCCCCCCTTTTTACACGTCCGTGAAGCGAGAAAAATCAAAATGAATTTTTCCCGGCCCAAATACGACCCCCTCTCCTGGCGGCCGAAATAGACATTCCCCTGTTAGGGATTCCCTCACAGCCGTGTGCCCTGATCTGATCTTTGGCGTCGGAGTCGACGACTTGCGAAGTCTGAACACCGCGGGGAGGGGGGTCAGGCCATCTCCACGGACAAAATTCATCCGCTCACGGAGGAGAATTTCGTAGGAAGGGGGAAGAAAAGGATAAGCCATGCTCAATCTTCTACAGAATGCTCAATTTAATTACATAGTTCTGAAAGGTTCCAAAGGATTCCACTATAAAATATGAGCTGAGCATGCATCTGACTCACCTCATACTCTTTCATACCCTTGAATATTTGCGTATGTACCACACAGTCTTCGTCGTCGTGAACAGTACGGCAATGCTTGACAAGATCTTCTTGGAATCGTACTTTTGCAGTGCAAAGGGGGCACGTTATATAATATTCACATTTCTTCTCTTCAGCGTGATAACGCGTGCTATGTTTGAGAAGGGACATTGGCTGCATCCAGCGTTTACAAATTTTGCATTGTACGATTTCTTTTCCGGAATCAAACGACAACACTTTCTTCGATTTCGACGTAGATGGGGTGGCATACGAATCCTGTAATGTTAAATCATAAGGTGCGCTCATAACTCAACCAGTCGTCGTGATAAAAGAATCTCAAAGGGACGCCGTATACATTGAAACCAATGCATACGGCCTTCATTATGTTAGCAACTACTCAGGGTGTTTCTGCAACGTTATACTCACAAAAGCACATTGTCAGGGACCTCTTACATCTTTCGCAGCACTTCTATTTAGAAGAGAGAAGGAATTTAGCAACCTACAGTGAATTTCCTGACCACCTACAGTGCTGGCAAAATGTTTACATACAAGCGTTGGGAACTATGTGGCCTCGAACTGTTTGAAAAAGCGTATCGTTCGAGAGGCTGCGCATTCCTTCATGCACAGGATAACGTGGCTGAAGAAGAAAGTCACCGTTTGCCCGATTTCATAAGTTTTCATATCATAAGTTGCTCTAACCCCCGAACCAACATTACGAACCTTCTCCCCTCGCAACCATCCTGTTCTCTTACACGACGTCATTCCTATACGACCTCCACCATCCGCAGAGCGAAAGAGAGTGAAAGGGAGAACAGCAATACAACCAACTGCGCCCACCCTAGGGGGGGGGCATTTGATGGACTCTTTGAGCGAGCATGTGATTCCCAAAGAACTGGTAGAAACGGTCCGCCTAAGTCTACGCCTTAAGGGAAGAGCTTCTGGCGTTGTGAACAAATTTAAAGTGGGGAATCTCTAGAAAGATGACGGCGCAGCTCGGCGACGAGGGGAGGGGGGAGGCATTTCGCACTTTCGTTGCTTCACTAGTTCGGTTTACAAGTCTCACTCTGGGAAACCTGTGAACTCTTGTGAAGCTGGAGCAAGCTCGTCAAGCCATCATGGTAAAACCTGTCAACTCGAGAAGAGGCTGTCTAGATGGGTCGACACGTCGATGGGAAGTAGCAAAAGTGCAAAATGCCCCCCCCTCCCCCGCTCGCCGAACTGCACCAAGGTGATTATAAGAAGGAGGTTGTAGGCCCTTGAACGAGAATCAACTATTCTGGTTACTGTGGATGAAGGGGGCGTGTCAGGCGGGGTGGATTTGGCATGGCGCCAAACCCGTTCTTAACCACTTGTTGAGGCGGGTAAGCGACAACAATCGCAGGGAAAATGACTGATACGAATTATATGATACTGTCTTATCGCTTGCTCGCTTCAGCAACCGGGTGGAAACGAGTTTGGTACCGCGACGAATCAATGCTGCCTGACACGCCCCATTCATCCGCAGCGGAAAAGACCGTCCCCTCCTAGTAAATAAAACTATCTGGATGAGGATTTAACAACTTCATGAATATCGATACTCCATGAGATCTCAAAGAAGAGAGTAAGAACTTCGTGAAAACGAAACCGACCTTTATCATTTGCAATGTCCGCCGTATCATGGTGGCTATAAATAGAAACCGAACTTCCGTAGAGTCTGAATGGATAATCTTTGCTCAAAAGATCATGAAATAATTGAGAGTCACAAAGAATATTATGGACGATATTGCTTCGAAAGAACAAATATAGTAATCAAAGAAGACACGGGCGAGGAAGAATCTTGCAAGAATGAATTATTTTCTAGTGATTGGATCTGCAGCTCAACACTACAGAGTTGAGGAAAAATAAACGCTAAAGAAAGCCTTTAAATAAAAACACTGCATTCCAGCGACAACGATGCAAATTAGTTTGATTTCACTTTAATGGGTAACAGTATCTATAGAAAGTTTGCTTGTTGAAAGTTATGAACATTAGTAATTGAGCTCCTCTCGAGCATAGACAAAGAAGTCCAGTTTCCGATTCGCACGTTCAACACTTGACAATAAGTCTGCCAAAAGCAGACGCGCGCCGTCTGCGAGGCGATCAGATGGCACTGAGCCAGCAAAAGTGGATTTCATACCTTCCACAGAAATGAATGACCTAATATACCTTGATGTATATGTCTCAATGTAAATAAAAAGAATGGAAATAAAGTCCAAAAGGCGACTGGCGTAACAGCAAGGCACAGGCACGCGTATACAAATGTTCAACGCGCGCACCGCTCGCTGTTCACTGGGTCAGCCGTTTCGCCGACAGGCGCGCGTCTGCTATTGATCAAACACATTTTTAGGGTCCTGCGTCATTATAACGATGAAGCCGTTATTGACGAGCGGCTACACTGCTCGTTGGGGCGGCAGAGAAAATGCTTGCTGGATTAGTTACATTGACCCTGGTTTCTGTCCTACCATCGGCTGCATTTGCATGAGCATAGAACATAGCCAGTCGGCGCTAGCATAGTTGGAGGGTGTATATAGTGCAGTTCGTGCGGACGGTTGGGCGTGTCAGGCGGGATGAATTTGGCGCGGTGCCAACCCGTCCTCCACCGGTTTTTAAAGCGAGCAAGTGATGAGACTGTATTATGTTGTTCGTATTACTCGCTTTCTACCACTGCTTGTCGCATGCGCGCTTTAACACTTCGACGGGTGAGCACTTATACTGCCTGACACGCCCAATCGTCCGCAGTGAAATAGAGTGTCGTATGTCATGCGGACGTTACCAATTTCATTGATTCGCGTTTCTGGGTTACTATACCCTGGCGGTATCACTGAAGCTAGATCATTGTCTCACAATCGTTGAGGAATGGATACCGCAGAGAATACAAGGTCTGCACTGACTCTAACCCTTAGGAAGAAGTCCAGGTTGCCCTTCCTTTCACACAGCGTGACGTTACGTGCCTCCAATTCTTATTTGAGTATTCCCTCACTACGAAAGGTGTGTACTAGCTTCAACTCCATGGTTCTCGATACGGTCATGGTACGTAAACCTGTGGTACTTGTCTTGTCGTGCATTTATGCGATCAATGCGGGATTGATACCGTTTGGACGCGCTCAGTTTTGGCTGCTGACTCATTCATGAAGTGCCTAGATCACCAAGTCCGCTGTAAACTTTGATTCAGGGGCTACTTAAAGTCCTGAATATGACATTACGAATATTACATTCATTCTCGGCGCAGGCGCTAATGGAGGGCTTTACGATCATCTGCGCACTGCTAAAGCCAACTCTAGAATGAAGAGAATCACTTATTCTTGAAGAGAATCACTTATTCTATCAGGCTCATCTTGCGTGAGGGTGGGAAGTGAGTAAAGAGCATTGAACACATAATGACTGTCACAACACTTCATAAATACCGGTAGCAGTCAGAACCGTGCACATCAAACGGCATCATTCGTCGCAGGCCGCGAGATAGTGCGACGAGGAATTAGGTATGATCATCCTCTCCAATCGCCAGATCAGCAATCCCTATGCACCCGTCGCGCACCTCCAGAATGAGACAGTTCTTACAAGGGAGGTCGTTCAGGCCGTGGTGAGCTTTTTCAAAACGGTTTGTTGCATGTTGTAGGGGTCCATGCGAGGACCATAGCGATGGGGTTCATTTTTGCTAAACGGTTCTGGGAATGTCAAAAAAAGGTCAAAAACAATTCGAAAAGAATGGGCTTTTTAAACCACCTTATTCGCCTCTGTTCTAGCTGTAGCGTTGACAGGGTATAGTATGTAGGGTATCCTTTGAGTAGGCATGAAAAACAGCGCAAAATAAGGTCAAAATCCAAATGGTTACTTGGCATGCGGTG